AAATCATTTGTTTCATTGAACACATACAACAATGCATATTTCCACTGAGATCAGTGACCTTTGATGTGTATCACCAGTGATCAGTCAAGTAGAAACAGTCAAAATATGTTATCAGATTTTCTCAATTTTTGCATGATATTTTCATACAGGACATCTGTTGTTCAAACTCATGGAAGACTTTATACTGATGAATAAGGTGACCAAGTTTGATGAAGTTTGGAACAGAATTAGTAAAGTTATTATGCACACAATAACAATTATAAACGACGACAACGACAACAACAACAACGACAACGCCGAACAAAATGTTTCCCTTAATATACCTTTCCCTTCCATCTTTGATGGTACGGGCAAGGTAATAAAAATGATCACAACTCACATGAAATTTATTAAGTAATACATCTTTTAACATCTTAAGTTTAACTGGTGCTATGGGATTGGCATCAACAAATATCGGCCGCTGTTCATCTGGCACAGTGTCCAAGAATGATGCATCTCGTATCAAGAATAATGCTACGTAAAATAAACAAAACACCACGTCAGTCTTATAAGGTGATATAGGAACACACCCTTATAAGTTATTGGGACAGAATGATTCAAAAATACAATATTTTATTAAGCAAACTGTACAACAATGTTAAGGGCAAGTGATGTTCACATCAATATTAGAAAACACAGCATTTTGGCAGTACAACAAGGCTGCTTACATGATAGCAATACCCTAAGAATCTGGGCTAACAATATTGATTGAATAAAAAATTACTGTGGTGTTAAGTACAGATTCTACATGTATTAAAAAACAAAGCTTTTTTTTTTATACTGTATATGCTCTATTTGGAACTCATCTTCATTATAGGACGTATTAAAGCCCCCCTATCCAATAGTCTGATGGGATTTAAATACACTATTTAAATGAAAAGTCAAGTCTAAGAAAATGCAATTTACAGCTTTCTCATATCACTTTTCATTTTCTAGATATTATAATATAAAAATGAATACATTTTCTTATTATGTTGTTTGGCTTGACTTCTCCTCACATAGTGACTATTCTACATACAATTCTTCTTTCCATATAATATAACAGCTCAAGCAACATATCAGTTTAAAAATGTGCATTCAATACTTATTCTGTGCATTATATGGTGAATTAGATGTATATACTGCAAGAAATAAGTCAAAAAGAAAATTCAAGGTACTTATTTTCCACAGTAGAAATACATCAACAATAACATATTTTTAATATGTGTTAATTTTCACAACAACTGACATGTACAGTAAATGCATTCATTTTTCACAAGGTTTTAATTTCGTTATTTTCGTTAAAATCAGCTAAATTAAATCTATGTGAACATGCAAAATTGCAATAAAACTGATTGTTTCCTTGATAAATTTGTGAAATTAAAACACAGTGATACGCTCAAAACATCAAAATAGTGAAATTAAATGTCGGTGAAAATAAATGGTTTTACAGTACATGCAAATGGGGTAAGATTGTACTGATTACTGGAGGTATTAATAAATATACAAACTTACAATTTGGATTGTCAACTCTATATGCTCCATGTATTATCTCCATTTCAGTGACAGATAAACCCATAACCCAACGATATTCATCTATAACACTCTGGGGTACCTCAGATCTATTGGGAACCCAACCACATCTTTCACTGCAGTATAAATAGAAACATCCATCAGACCATATATTTATCATAAGACACAGGCAACTACCGGGTACTTGTATTTTTTTGCTTCAATTGGAAAAACTTTAAACACAAACAACTATTAAACTTGCCTCACATTTTTAAAACGGACTAAAAACTGAACTCATATTTATGTTATCTTTAAAATTATAAAGGGTATGCATTGAAAGAAAGAAATACAAACCTAAGCTGTGCGAGAGTTGGAACACTGGGAAAGCACACAGGATTTACCAAGAAAAGAAAAGAAAAAGATGTGAAAAGGCTGAATACTGTATTTGCTCTTAGAAGTACATCTTCAACGTGCATTGCATAAGGTATCATTAAAAATCTCATTTTGAGCATAGACACACCTCTGTTATTTACAGCAATACAGTCGTTGCACTGCGTCATATGTTCGATATTGGACCAATAATGACATACACAATGCATGTAAAATACAACGTATGTTTACAATACATGAAATTTAAACATGCACTGCATGACTATGCCACTTTAATTGCATGTGCTACTAATAGAGCAAATACAGTAAGTTTGAAATTGATTCATGAAATTAAAGTTGGTGCATGGTTGTCACATTGTGGTATGTCCCATGCGACATGTACAACGTGCAACAAACATTGTTTTTTTACAAAATATTTGAACGTTCGCATGATGAACACTGTCCTGTAACACACTGACAGCCAAAAAACAAAATAACATTTAGAAGCCTGGGGGCTTGAATCTGTGAATATGCAAGTTCAATTTTATGAATATAATTATCATACTATATTGTATAATATAATATATTATTTTAAACCAAAAGTTACAACTATAAGTAATGTTAATTCTGCACAGAGATAATGTTAAATAAACATAGAATACACTATAAACTGCTTAATTGACGATGCTAAGAATTTTTGCATTTCATGATTTTATAGCATTCATGAAGACAAAATTGGGTGAAAGTCACTGACGCTCAGTGTCGTAGGACTCCAGAGATATTTTCACTGACCAAATTTGCGAAATTTGTCAATCACGAAGTTAAAGTGGTTTATAGTATGATAAACAATACAAAAGAGGCATTAGCTGTAGAGTCAATTCCCATGATTACATTTACTATATAATATACTGTAAGGTTAAAACATTATGCAGGCTCGCAATACTTATTATCAGAGTGAACATTAGACTGCATCGATAATATACTGTAAAATACTTTATTTTCGTTTGGAATTAATTTTTGCTATTTTCGCTGAAGGAATAATCCAGTGAAAATTAAATCCAGCGAATATACCTTTTTTTTTATATATTTTATATTCAACTCATCAAAAATCAGTGAAAATAAATGTCAGCAAAAATTAATTCCAGCTAAAATAAAGTATTTTACAGTATTTATCTCACGGTATATTTTTAAAATTTTTAGTTTACACCATAAGTTTGAGTAACTACAAAGAAGCTAGTAAGTGAATCTGAATTACTGAGTAGAAGAACTAATACTAGAGAGTGGTAGTATACATCAATGTTCATGACGTTAAATTAAGAAAGAATATTGTGGGATTATATATATTTATCACATAAATGCTATGGGTTTTTTTCAAGAATAAAGACATAAGAGTCATCAGTGTTATAATGCATGTGTACAATAATGTTGATGTGCTGTTTAATCTGTTTGTGAGTTCTACTGGAGATTATTCTCCTTTTGCAAATTAAATATTGATGTTGCATGTGAATAGTGTTGTATTCTCTCAACTAACTCATAATTTATGTGGTTCAATAATCAGAATATTAATGATATGATTATGAATTTTGAGAGCACCTACAAATTAACAATAATTTGGTTGGTGGCATACGTAAACAGTGCAGATAGAAAACTTGCATATCCACATTTACAGTATACTGATTCTTACATTACGCATGTAAAATTTTGAAGTTCATCACTTGATCTCCCAATAGATAGTCATATTTGTTCGTTTTGTTTGCATTATTCATGGCAATACCTGATAATATTGTTTGTTTAGAACTTTTTAATGAATTGTTAGTAATGAATGAAGGCAACTGATACAAACATATGTCACCAACCTGGTTAAATTAAGAAAAAAGGGCATGACATTATCTGCATAGCATCGGTCAATTTCACCTAGGCACGTCCGCAATGTTTCCTCTGTGGTAGTATCTTTTGGTACACCCTGGATATATAACCAAACATATGAAAAAAATTAATAAATCATACTGACATATCTGTAAATAAGTTTAGTTTGTTTGCATTTACTCAGATGAAAGCAAGTTCGTTGATGAAAACTGACTGTGTTTGCTGCTTCAGTTAATTATTTAATACATGTACCTTTAATGATAAGTTAAATTCACTAAACTAAATATATTGTACATGTAAACATGACGTAGAATAACTATGTTTCTCTGTGAACACCAAGTGAAATTGCTCAAAATATCAAAATAGTGAAATTAAACGAGTGAAAATAAATGGTTTTACAGTTCTTTTCTGTTAAAAATATTCCCATAGACACCAAAAAAATAAAAAAACATTTAGACATAAAAAATACACTAAAAAGAATGTAATTTCCTAAGTACCTTATATAGAATTTGCCTAACAACAATTTTGAAACATGAAAAAATGGGGAAAAGTTTTATCAGGAATGGTGGGATTGAATGTTATTAATTTCTAGTCCAAAATTTCTGGACTTGCTTTGAACTAATTTAAATTTGTGAATGTAATATTTTTAAATTTTGAAGGGCATCAAGACATTTAGGTAGGGCATCAAGGCAAATGCGTCCATTGCGTCCGTGACTTCCAGTCCTGGTAATGTCGTCAACATATACAATAATTACATTTATCATTTTTATTTTGATAATTAATAATATAATTCCACATCAATAATATAATTCCAATGAATTCTTCACAGTAGAAATGAAACACCACTGACCCATCTTAAATCACAGTCAACTAAATAGAGTCTTCTTTTTTCACACCAAACTCGTAAATCTGGAAATACCTGTTAAATGGAAAAGATCAGCACACATGTACATGAATCTTAAAAGCAAAAACATATATGAACAAACATGAACAATTTGTAATTGTGACTTTTCTAACAAAGGACTGGCAAATTCCTTACAGAAAAAACTTATTGAAAGAATAGCAACAGATCTAGATTGCTTTTGCTTGTCAATAATTTAAATGAGTGCTCCTTACAATGTGTTAATCATTGCTCATATTTTCATAAAACTTATAAATTTATAAGATTTCAAAAGGGCAAAATGTAGTTTTTAAAGTTGCAATATGGAAGCGAACAGTCATGTAATTGTGCATATTATTGTTTGTTACTGTATGTTAATGAATACATAATGGATCAGTTTTTTCATGAACTAAAAACTGTTCTTACGAGCACACTATGTACTCATTCTAAAACAATTAATTTACTGTATGCTATTGTGTGTGCCGTAAAAGCACCATTTGTAGTCAATTTAGTCCTCACCATGCAGAATCAAACAACAACATTAAAAATATACATCTTTAAAAAGAACTTGCCATGCCATGCCATGGAAAATACAGCATGAACATGTACAATGTAAAGTATACATTGTACATAAAAAGTAAAATATAACAATTTAGCATTCCCATGATGCTTCACTTGAATTTGTGACATCAGTTCCACTTTAAGAGACTGAAACTTTTATTGTTTCTCAGTTTTATCAAATATGGAGGAGAAAATCCCTTACCTCTTTAACAAGTATCTCTCTTTCAGCTTGAAAGTCGCGGAATGTTGATGATACAAATATACGAATTGTTTTCCAGCCAGATCTTTTTATCACCAGTTTTTTTCGGGGTCTTTTCTTCACTGTTTTTTTAACTTCACTCCATGTTTGTCCGACATCATATTGGTAGCTAGAAGCATTAGATGCCCCACAACCCATGATGATGATTCTCCAGTGTCCAGTTCGGATTAACTTTTTCTCTACAGCAGTAGCATATGTGTTATCAATAAATAACATTATACATCAGGAACACTTTTTTTTTTTTATTTATTTTATTTCACCAGAATGACCATTATAACAGAACTCATAAACAAAACACAATAATAGTATTTCCGGCGTGGACCATGGAAATAGTCCTTATGGACTAGTCCAGTCCATGGCCCAGCTTGTCAAGTAGACATTTACAATTTACTGGTAAAGGAAAGGAAAATTACTATTTACATAACGAAAATTAAAAGGTAATCTATATGATTTAGATATAAATATGACTAAAAAATTATGTGTAATAATAATATAATCGAACTGCTGGTACAACGAACTTTTATGCAGAAGAAAAGAAGAAAAAAAATTTAGGGAAATGGGAGGTAATCGAGGAATTTAACAAAGCAAATAATGTTTCATTTCATATTTAAATTTGTTTCTGTCGGTGATGTTTTTGAGGGAGTCTGCAAGTGAATTCCAGTGTTTTACTGCAGCAAATTTAAAATTATGTTGTGAAACTGTAAGTTGAGCAACAGGAATTGACAAGTTACCGCTAGACACTGAACTTGTGGGATAGCAATGTGGGTAATCATTAACATACTTATTGAGGCTATGTGCATATCTGTTGTGTTTAAGGTCGAAGAAAAATAGGCAGGTTTGTAATTTACAAAGTTTGATGGTTCTCAACTTAGTGTGCTAAAGGCACATAAGTCAATAAGCCGCAACTTTTGTTGATAACAAATGTTGATTTGTGTATCATGCAATGTTGCAAGTTGAGAACCATCAACAACCTGCAACATGTTGCAAGGAATAGAGCATTTCAATCAACAAATTGCAACATGTTGACAGCAGTCTGCCAACATGCAATGATACAAAAATTGTCCTGTGAATCATGGCCTTAAGACAAGTGCAGACTTGTTGTCAATGACATTTTGGGACTTGTATGCGGCATATACAACACAGCTAAAAATTCGGACTGTTTTGTCCTATATTTTGTGAAATACAAAATGGTGCAAGATCGCATAGACTGATCACACTTTATGCACACATAAACCTATTTGCATTCTCACCACCAGAGGACATTTATTGTTGGTTATACTAAGTGGTGTAAATAAGACCAAGGCTAACAGCAATTTCTGTTTGATTTAAGGTTTTTGTAACATCAATAAATTATTTTAAGATGGCAGCAACAAAAATAGTCAAATTTTTTTGAGTAAAAACTGAAAATTTACTCAAACTTTGTCTGTTGGCTCCAAAATTAGGGTTCATTTCCAGAAATATTGAAGAATATAAGAAAAAAAGTGAAGCAAAATTTGGACAAGAATTTATTCATGTAGTTCAACATTTTCTAGTTTGGTCATGTAGTTTTTTTTAAATAGTTTGATGTCGTATTTGTAATTTCTGTAGGTCCCATCTGAATACTTTGTAGCACTATTGTTATATTATTTATTTCTGTATTCCAGGGCATGGAAGTGCTTGTCTAGATTTTTATTTATCTCTCTTATTTCTGCACCATTAGTTTTTTCGGAATATGTGCTTGGTTGGTGTTTGTACCATTGTATCATTTATTGGTCATCCAATAGTTCATTAGTACAGCCTGTACAGAAGTAACTTGACAATATTTTATACCTGTAAAAGTGTTATAATATTTAATTAGTTACTTTTTATTTTCCACAAGGAACCAATAATAGTTGAGAAGTGATTTAGATGCTCATTCAGTTGGACATCAGCAATTTGCTGACATTTTTTCAAAATTTCCAAAATTTATTCAATTTTTTCTATTAAATTTACTGTTTTACAAAACAAAAATATGGTGAATAATTGGAAATTCATTTTGAACAAAATGTTCTAACCTGATTTTAAGACAACTGAATCTCTGCACATTCAACTTTTTATTTGAGCTTAATGCCATACCTAGATAGTAAAATTAGTTAAAATTAACAGATAAAGTTTTCAATACAGTTTCCCAAATCTGATGAACTAAAGCAGATGTGCAGGCATTTTCTCATTAGAACACATTCCATAGCCCATGTGTTAGCATGGGGCAAATTACTTATCTTTACAAATAGGTCCAGTCCACACACCAACTTTTTTTATTTTTACTAAATGTAGTTCCAGACACATTTTTTCATTACTTTTCTAATCGTGAGCAGGAAGTCCATTCTGGCCTAGAGCCATTGTCAAAATTTGGGGAATTGAAAACAATTTATATGACAGACGTTTCAATGAGGAATTGTTAAAAATTCTTGATTTGCATATCAAAAACATGTTCACCAAAAAACAACGTTGCTATGTTTCTATACAAACAACAAACTCAAAAGCGAGTCTTATCGACATTGTGTTTCTGAGCAAAAAAAAACGCTCAATCCAAAAATGACCAAATTTCGCCAAAACTTCTATAATTTCTTGATAATATCATTAATTCAGTTGAGTCGTTAGACGCCAGGGGAACAAAAATTTGTTATATGAATCCATCCTGTGCCAAGAAATTGGTGATTATAGCCAAGGGCTGCATTTCAAAAACATATAAGCATACTGTACATGTATAGGACAGACTCTCATACCAAGAACTGGCCTTGAAAAAAGTAGTAGCAGGAGATAGAAACAGGAACTAAAAACAACAAAAAACTTATTATAAAACTATTTATATCGATTAAATTACAAATATATTTTTAAACATATATTTGTATTATATACATGTAGGTTGTACTTTTATGATCATCAAATTTGCTTACTTTCCAAAGGTCACTCACATTGACACGTGTAATTACGAAATCACCTGTTCATGTACGTACAGGTACGTGTATGTTGGGTTTCTGAGCTGGAATATCATGCTATTCCAGGCAGAGTTGTTGGTTCAGATAGATAAAAGATGATGCAATGGTCTTGATAGAGAAAGAGACATCAAACCCCCCTCCCTCCGTCATCGCCCATTCAAATGCTATACACCCCTAAAGATCACAATAACGCAGCCCTGAAAGTGGTTGCTATTGACAACTTGGTGTATATATTTTTTTTGGACAAATCAATGTGTTTAATTAGCGTTTGACATTTCGATGGGAGAAATAGTGAATAACATATGTTTATGTTTGACGTTTCCAGTTGCCACGTTTCATTTATTTTCAAAGTGGGGAAAAACAATGGGTCCGCCATTTTGAATAATATTAGTCTACATGTCTACAGTATCGGTAACAGTTGTCAATGTTGTCTGCACATTTATCTCTAAAAAACAGCAAGCTGTGCGCTACATTGATCGGTAAATGTGACAGTCACAACAACCACGCGACGAAAGTAGCAAAACTATGCGATAACGACATGGAAGGATAAGCTGGCTAGCGGAGTGGGTCCAGCAACGAATGACATCATCAAGAGTACGATCAACAGCTGATCCAAATTCCAAACTTACCTCATAAAAAGTTTAATTATACTTCGGTATACATCAATATATACCTCATTTACTCATGTCCGTATACGTGCGCTAAATATAGCCCATGTTTTGCATTCACGGGGCATTTATGAACACGACCTTTGTTCGAAGCCTACTTGCGCAAATAAACGGTTATCTAAAAACAGGAAACGAAAGTTTAAACATGTTTGTGGTAGAGGGCGTGTGAAATCACTTCCGGGAATTTCAGAAACTGGAAAGAGAATAATAATATTGGAAAATTCAAACGAAAACACATGCATAAGTGACTCTATATGATTTCGAAAAGATTTAAATTTAATGATATTCTCAAAATAATAAGATTTTCTGAGTAAAAAGCTCGGGGGAATGCCCCGGTGGAAAGTCCGTGCAAAAAATGTGGTCATGGTTCGGTTTATATTGGGGTATAATAAACTTAAAATGTTGGTCTAAAATGGGCATACTTTTCACCTGAATGATCTATGGTGGGGGGGTCTGTGTTTAGAAGTCACACGCCAACCAAATCAGTAACCCAGTGCTCCATCCAAAAACTGTCTGACAGAAATTAACCCCCCCCCCGAATATATATGTTATAATTACTGTCGATGCAGAAAAAAACAATCCCTTAAAATTTATAAATGTTTATAAATTTCATAATTCAAACTGAAAAGAGAGGTTTCTATTGGAATTTTAAAATGACGTAAATGTACATGGAGGTCTTTGATTGGCTGGTTGGATTCAACTGCCTTTGAATCTCTCCCCTCCCATGGGGCGGCTGGTGAAGGAATAACGCATGCGCGTTCAGAATTTCGCAGAGAAAGTCGTATACTATTTTAAACGATCTAGACTGATATAGGTCGGGGGTTGCATTACGCGATTGGCTGAAAATTTGCACAAATTTATAATTATATATAATGAAAGAACCGTTTCCTCAGTAAAACTGTACCAAAATACTTTTCGATACTTTACAAATATTAGAAAACTTGCTGTATAAGCGTTTTTTTAAGATACGTTATTATCAGAATCCAGCAAACTGTTGAAAGTAACCACAGGTTTTCCCTTAAACGTTATTACAGCAAGTTAGCACCTGAAAGTATGGGGACGCTGAAAGATTTGTCAAAAAAAATGAAAACTGGACACTTAAAAAAAGAAAATTGCATACAAGGTGACACCTTCAAACAAAGTTCAGACAATACACCGCGAAAAAAGTGCACTGGTAACGCTCTTCCAGCCACCCCAGGATTTCAACTTGAAATGTTTAAGCCCCACGAAATTCATGGAGAATAAAGAGGCACGTTGATGTTTCACTACTGCTAAATGTTTCAATAAATGTTACCAGTGACAAATTACCTTGTAACCATTCTAGTGTTTATGCATTCCTCAATCTCAATTTATGCAGAGAATATAAATCGTGAATCCGGCGATCTGATTGGTGGAGGGCGCATAGCCATGTTAGAATGAAATGGAACAACATCGAACATCGACAGTATAGCATGACTTACTCGTGCAAGAAACTAGCAGCACCAAACTAGTATAGACTATACTGTCTATGCTTTAACAAATTGACACATTGACTGGCCATGAGAACATCCTTTATATTTGACCCAGATGGAAATAGTTGGCAATAGTTTCAGGGAAATAGGATGATTACTTCCCTGAGTCGAGGGCTATCGAATTATTGATATGAATCTATGGTTATGTAAGACAATATTGACATAAATAATATCCGATCATCTATAGTTATGAATAAAAATAGGAATATATAGTTCTACGCTCATTTCCATTGTTTTTGCCTT